CCACCACTAGCATAATTACAATCAAATACTACATCATCATTACAATCGAATACTACATCAACATTACAAACGACAACGTCAAATCCATCCACATCTTCAAAACGTTCATCTTTACCATCAGAGCGGAAAATTACCAAAAGAATAAAATTGGATGTGGGTTGGTGTGGGTGTGGGATATGGGCAGGTGTGGATGTGTGCATAGGGTTCACACATAGTACATTCACATCCACACCCACACTCCAGACCCACACCCCACACCCCGCACCCACACCCACAGCCACACCCACACACCCACAACCACACCCCACATCCACACCCCACACCCACCATACCCACACCCACACCCTTATTATGTTCCAATACTCTATTAATGCACAACTTAAACACTGAATATCTCTGCTCGGGTAAGCCATCAGCAGCTCATATTTTAAATTCATGAGTTTCTCAATGGGTGCGATCATTTGCACCCCACAGGGTCCTCCGGCTAGCTTATCAGTACAGACCGTTCCATTGTAAGACGCAATAAAAGAAAGACAAAGAACATAAAGTCAACTAAACTGTCGAACTCACTTCTTGTTCTTTACGCAAGAATATTTCTCAATTGGCTATACTTATTCCATCTCGACTTGTAAAAGAAGAAAATTTTTATTGCATGAGAAGAATGTTTCTATGCGATAACCAATGTAATAGATTATAAAGCAAGGAACAATATCAAGAACACGTTCGTGTGAAAGAAATATGAATGTCAAAAAGAATGAATTTGAACGAAAAAATTCCCAAGCAGACAAACATGCCACTTTTTATAGTGATTTGATCTTTAAAAAAGTATGCATAATTTAGTATGTTCTGCTTGTACATATTTTTTTTTCATCAAAACCTTTTATGTCAAAAAAACGGTCAATTTTTTTCTCAAAAATTGACAGAACTTTATGCTGTCGAAACACGTGCATGTTCCAGCTAACAAGTTTCACTTTCCTATATTACTTTAGTTGCACACTGATGCTCTTTAACCAGTATATTCTAAGGTTAAATTTCCACGAAATCATATTACACTTTCGATTTTATAGAAATAATAATGTCCAGAGTTATAAGTATTCACCGTAAATATAAAAAAATAATATAAATATTATTTGGAATAATGTCATTCAGGATGAGAGTGTGAGTGTTTTCTTGTGCTTCTCTGGCACTTATACCCACGTCATACCGTATGCATAAAAATACCCATGCTCTGGAAGTATTCGAATCCGGTGCTAATTTTACTTACGTGTCTCCATATACGATTGTGAAGACATAGATCATAATATATGAATCATACAAAACAATAAAATGCGATCATGTATCGAATGTGTTTCGTAGATACACAGTTACAAATACCATGGTGTGAGATTGTTTAATAGCGTATATGCAGTACGTATTCTTCATTCTAGGAGAAGTCAGAAGTTAGAAAAGAAAATATACATCTCAATGAAACATAATATGGAAGCAATTATTTTCTTGAAGCATGAAGAATAGTAGGACGTCACAAAAAACTGGTACATATATGTAACAGTATCTAACTCGAGTAATGTTCATTGCCACTTTTATTATGTCGCAATCAACTATATCATAGTCTGATCAGTCTTCAAGTTTTACGCAACATAATACATGCTCCCACTCTTGAATCTTTTGAGCATTTGCATCGGTCTTTGATAGATACACCTTGCAATGCCTGTTCAATATGTTTACCGCAACCTACAAGAATAAAAGACGTATTAAGTAATTTTCTAGTAAATTGAAGCTGATCTTCACATTACCAGTCCACGTTGGCTTGCCACATTTAGAACAAATAGTTTTTCTACACATTATTTTTTATAGATCTAAAAGATATTTTAAACACTAAAGAGAATAACATTAGATTGTTCATATTAGGTTAATCTGAAAAAAATGGTTTAGTATTGGTTTTTTCGACAATACTATGGATTGATATTCCGGACGTTTCTGTCAATAAAATTCAAAAAAAAATATTTATTCATCACTAAGATTCACATTTTACATAGAAGTTACTAAAAACAGAAAAACAAGTGACTATTAATGATTTCGTCATTGATTCTCCGAACATTGAGCATTATATTAAAAAAAAGAAATCTTCACAGAATATTTCTCGAATTATCTACAAAAAAGTTATTAAACCGCTGAAGTATGCTAAACAATAATTGACTCTTTATTTATCTATGACACGATTGCCTTGAAAGGAGTATATCTAAACTCGAATACCAAAACGATGCGAACCAAAGAAAGATTCTATTGTTTAGAGCTTAGTATCCTGTATTTTCGGTATAATAATAATTATTTATGAAATCCAAGATTTCAGAGCAATTTTCGAAATAAGTTTACCGTCTCACAAGTCACAACTGTATTTTTCATGATTTTCATTTTCAAAAAGCCAGAACCAGCGTGTATATTATGTGAAAATGTACAACTTCACAGTTCGGAAAAGTCTGCATCTATTGAGTCTTGGCATATGGCCTTGAAAAAAAACTTTAAGATACAAAGTCACCATTTAAATTACTCGGATTTTTCATTGAAGAAAATAAACTTCTGATGACTTGTAATCTTTTTATTCTTACAGAAGAATGATGCGCAATTATATTTTGAATCACCAATAAATGCAATACAGGCAATCTTCTACTTTGTGTCATTCGAAAAGAAACTTTTCTGGTCAAGATGAAGATTAGAAAAAAAAATACGCTAAGCGAAATCATTTTCTCTATCTTACCTGTTCATAAGTTCATGTGTATCGTTTTAACTATCCATTCTCTCCTTTTTCAGTACTCGTTTCTTTCTATTCCTGTCTTTATATAATTTAAATCCTCTTTTATTCAGAGTATTATTATGAATAAAGAACAAGATATGTATTCATGTTTGATTTTTTTGCATATTCTATTAAAGATTATAAAACTTTAATATCTAAAAGAGGATTAACTACTGCCTTTATGATCAATAGTGAGTACAAGTTTTATGATCAATATTTTTGTTTCCGACTACAGATATCATTTCTTGAATTTATTGCATGTTTACAATAGATTCTATTTGAGTAGAGATTTTCTAATCTTATCGGTTTATTCATTTAAAAAGAAAACTAAGAATATGTTCAGATAATACGCTTATGTACGTTTAATGCCTGCATTCTTTTGAGTTGTACATACTTATCTGTTCTCTTTCATGCTTGTGATTTAATATCTCTTTCTTATTATACTCTATTCAAGTGTAACTTTCACATGTATGCCTGTCATTGGGCTTGCACTGGCATACCGTACGTAATCAAACTTCTTACTTTGCTGATCGACGTTTCATTGCTCATTATGAGCGCTTTCGTAGGCGTGACCATCTGAAAACGTGTATAGGACCATTCAATATCTTCAATTAGAAGAATCTAAATGATAGCAGTGTGAATATCAGTCCTACTGGTTGCGTTGGTCCTCATTGAGTATTCTAAATGAAGTAATTCTTATTAAAGCCGACAATCAAGTCAATCTCTTTGCTAACATTAATATGGTGAGCTATTTTCGAGCGTTGAATATTTAATATCAAGATAACAGGTTAAATATTGGATACTGCTCAAAATCCTTCATCATCGAAACACGATGAACTTCTTGAATGGAGGCAACATGACTGCCTATTAATGTACAATATTATAACAAATCTGAGTCATACAAGCATGATATTATTCAACAAAGAAAATACAGTTCATTTTTATAATTAATCGAAAACAATCGAGACATGTATTATTTATTGAATACATCTTAGTCTCTCATATTAGCTAGAAACGTTAACTTAATAATATTGACTATCTATTCACTTTTATTCTGCAAAAGATGATCGTCACGAGTCACCAGTGATGGCATACCAATTTTATTATTCTTATGCGCATGAATCTCTTTCATCATATAATCGTCTTAAGCCCAAGTGAATAAACACAGAAATTAATTCTGTATCGTTGTGAATATAGCTTGAAATATTTATGAAAAGGATGCCGAAAAATCTTGATTGTGTCTTTACTAACAGTTAAACGAAAAACGTATGTAACGCATGATATAAATGTGTGGAGGAAAAAGGAAAGCGTGCATAGATAATAAAGCAGATATTACAAGAGATGTTTAATATTAATTGTCATGGTAGTTTGCCAGTATAAGAATTGTTCATATTAAGTGAGAGTAACAACATACATAACAGTGACATATATATATTTTACACTACAAATATATCCATGAAGATTTTGTATCATGCACAAAGATATTTTTAATTTGCTCATAGATAGTTAAGTCTCCCTTGGACAAAAAGTTTCTTTTATACAATTTATTTTTTCATCACCTAAGACATCGTTAAAAAAAGAATACACTACAAGATGCAATGTGTAAAGCAGAGGTGTACAGTTGTATACTAATACGTTTAAGCTAGATGTTTTATCCAATAACGATTTATTTTTCTCAAGAGTTTTATTCGTTTAGTAATAATCATTAAGATTTTCTAGAAAAGGATTTTTTATTTAACATCCTATAATAAGTCACAGGACAAATGAAGAAAATATGAAAAAACAACATTGACAACCTACAGAATGAACAAGTATTGAAAGTTAAAATCGAAGGACAATAAAAAATCGATGTATATTTTGTATAATGTATGAATTGGATAAAGGAAAACAAATTACCACACCGCATATCTATGTAATTGACTAGTAAATAGCGAAATATCTTCACAATATTTTAGTTTTATCTATTATGTGCAAAGGAAAACACCTCTGTGAAACCATGAGTATGTCGATTATTTTTCTTCAATTTCGAATTATTATTAAAAGTACTGATAAAAAGAGTCAATGAATCTTTTAACATTCCACTCAAAGAGTTTGTATGCGATGTTTTCAATATTAAAAATATTTGTTCTACATGTTATTCAACATTGTTTTCTACAGTATAGTCTATACAAAACGTAAGCTCAACCTGATGAAAATAATTGCAAATATTTGTCACAAACTATTTCATTAATAATAAATCACGTTTCGTGTTGACTTAAAACTAATATAAATCTTGTTTTCGCTTCTTGATACTTGTTCAGTTAATAGACGAAAACATCCTAAAATTTCGAGTCCAGCATAAGTTTTATTTATCGTATTAAATTCTATAGCATCTCGAAGTCTCATTATATCCTAGATTATCGCTTATTAGATACTACGGATTGATACAAGTCAATGCGTTAATATAGAAAAAAAAGTCTGGTGATGAAGAGCATAGATTGGATGATTCACTGGATTCTCAGTAATATTCAACCTTGGTCTTAGCTTCATTCAATTTCCCGCTAGCACACCTTCTCCATCAATCAATGTGACTCATTTATTCTTTACTGACTGCACAATTTTTTTTTTCTTACATACTGAATATCAATATATGCGCTAACAATAGTTTAAAGATTTTAATCATTTTTTTTTTCTTTCCTTTCTATCTACTCTCACTGAACATCGGTACATAATCAGATAGAACGTACTTGACATTTTTCTATTATACTCTTTTTCGACTCTATCGAGCAATCAAAAGAAAATCATAAGAGCAGTAAGCAAAAAATGTATTGTATTGGTATCGTTGGCCTTGCTACTTCATATCTCATGCTTGGTTTTATGATTCGGAATGAATCAAACATTAATGTACATGTACAGATATTGTACTAGTCAATAAATGGCCATAGAGGAGAATTATTTGCTTTCTTAATTGACATTCTTTTACAACATTGATTCAATTTGATCGATTTAAATTTCGATTCTTGTAAAATGTTTGTTAATCATTTGACTTCAAATCGTCTGAAATCGATTAACAAAAGAAACATCAATCGACCTTTTATGAATGTTTTTATTCAATTTCAATATTGTTAGGTCTCTTTTTGATCATTTTATTGCTTGTGACTACTCCATAGAATGTATATTTAGTTTTATCAGACCCATTGTTACTTACAACTTTATTGCCAATAAATGTTGTTATGAAGACTTCAATGTTATTATTCTTAACTCTTTGTATTAATTTATTTTACTTTATTACATATTTCATGAAAAAAGAAAGAAGATTTAAAAAGATGTTATTCTAATGCATTAGTCACAAAAAAGAAAGAAAGCCAGATAAGAGACGAATGCGATGGTAACAATTTACGTCAGAATAGATTCCGACTTATAACTAAATTTGAAAGAGGAGTATGCCTCTATTCAAAAGCTAAAATCAATTCTGGAAGCCCCATGAGTGCTCTAATAACCACTGATGTTGCCCGGAAGTGTTGGACCAGAACGTGGAGGAAGACCGCCTGGATTAATATGAGTTGGGTATGTAACTATAGAACTAGGCGGGTAGACAGTAGTTTGTGAATTAGCAAAACTGGAATCGGCTGAAGAAACAATGATTTTCGAGTCCGTACTAACTAAAATTTAACAAAAGATACTTTATGAATGATCTATAGTCAGAGAAATGCTCACGTGGATTGGGACCTCTTGTAACACCATAATATCCAGCAAGGCCTTCCATTTTGTTTGTTTAGTCGATGATTTGCTTAAAGTAAAAAAAAAAAAAGTAACTATGAATACGGGTCGTATGCAACATTTTATATTAAGATATAGTATATGCTCCGTCATGCCTGAAAGCATGCTGTATTAAGACGACAAGACAATGACGAAGAAAGTAAATGATTATTTATTCGCTTCAATACGTAAATGAATGAAAACTACCTAGAATCAAATTTCTTTGACATACAAATATGCAACATGTTTGAGACAGATACTACAATTTACCTTGTAAATTAAGTCAATATAAACAATATATGAAATCAAACTTCAAAAGTGTTTATGTGACAACTAAATATTCATGTTTATCAGCTTTGTTTTCTAATAAGAATAGTAAAAAATGGCTATCATATATTCTTTATCATTTGAGAAAATAACAGCGACTTCATGATCCACAAGTCGACATTCTTGGCTCTGTTCTTACCAGATTCTTGTTTTTCAGAAAAAACTGTCAAGATTCTTATTGATCTTGAACTTCAGTCAAGAGTATTTCTAACAATAGAGAGAACTATATAAAGATTCTTTCCAGAATTACAAGGCGGACGTCCAGTCTTTTTTCTTACATATATATATATCGCTCACACACACTCATCGTTCATTTATACAACGAGTGTCAAACCGTTAACATGATGAGATGTATGAAAACTATTGCAATGTACGATGTCGGTATGTTGTAAATTGAAGTAAAGTATATTAATAGGTTATAACAAGACTATATTATAGCTTATTTAGTTTCTCATAACAGTTCGAATGATAATGTGGTTATGACTTTTCATCATAAGCTATTCAAAATCAACGTATTTTTTTGCAACGCATTTTTAACATTTACTCCTTAATGAAGATTGTTATCCTGGTATAGTTGAACTTATTTTCTTTTTTTTATAATGTTGCTTTATCGATGTTTCTTTTTCTTTATTTGTTTGAATTGTGAAAACTAAATGTGATATTATCCCGGTGAAAAATTTTATTGATTTAATCTGAATTATTTTGCAACAAAATAAAAATAAAAATCGATTGAAATTTTCGATTATAATTTATTATGATTGAATCAAAACTTGATTTTGTTGCTTGCGTAGTGAAAAATTTTACTCATTAAATTTGATTATTCTGCAACAAAATCAACATTATTAATCCGACTGTAATTGTGATTTTACTGCAGAATAATCAAATTTAATGAGTAAAATTTTCCACTGCGCAAGCAACAAAATCAAGTTTTGATTCAATCATAATAGATTATAATCGAAAATTTCAATCGATTTTTATTTTTATTTTGTTGCAAAATAATTCAGATTAAATCAATAAAATTTTTCACTGAGTACTGTTCATTTTTTTTCTTTTTTGTTTTTGTTGTGAACCTATAAAGTGCGAATAAAATTGATAATGAAAGTCTATATATATCAGGAGGATAGTATTTTTAAAAAATGTAAGAATCCGATTAGATTACTCAGGAAAATGGTCCTACACTATAAAAAAAAAGAATCTGTCCTGGATTCCAAGAAGTGCAAGATTCTTTCCTGATTTTGGATTTCTTGCTTCACCATCCAAGATTCTGTCTACCTGATTCTTGTCATTTTCACAAGATCTTGTAAATCAGGCAAGAATCTTATATAGAAAGGATAGAAGAAGATTCTTGGCTGATTTTTTTGCAAAATAAGAATCTGGAAAGAATAGAGCCAAGAACGTCGACTTGTGATCGAGAATACTTGTCAGTTTTGATAAACATGCATGACTGTTAATTGTTTATATCGTTTTTAGTTATATGTTGAAACTGAAACATACGATCTAGCATGATAAGAACCAAGCAGCACAAGTCTGACATCAATTGAAAATCAATCATTTGTCACGTGTCAATATTGCTTGAGTAGTCAGAATTAAGAAGAAGAAAAATTGAGAAAACTGATCAACATTGATTGATTGTACATTTTTATCATTTATAACTATTCGAAACATTAATCAATTAATAAAAGAAAAACGAATGGACAATGAGAATTTTGATATATACGATGTTCTAGAATAATAATATTTAACATTCTTGCATTTAGCATGATAGTACATATAGCATGTGTTTGTAGTCACTGTAAAATTGATGCAAAATAGAAGACACGAAAAGTAAATTTAGTCACACAATTCATTAATCGACATTTTTTCTCCTGTTTCTTACCACATTCATATGTCCCTTGATAATCGATAAATACTCTTTTTACATATGCTTAAGTACAGGAATCTTGTCTGATCAGTCACAAGAAAAACAAGAATTTGGAAAGAATAGATAGATTAATGTCAATGAATGTTATTTGTAATACAGAAAATAGAAGCTGATTCGTTGCTCTCTATTGACGAATGTCACAACGAATATTACTAGCGGAAGAATTTAAGACAATCATTGTAATATTTATATTGAATGAATACTCATCCAAGGTTAACAAAGCACAAAGGTGACAAAAATTCTTTGGTCGCTCAAAACAGTTTTCTAATATTTGACGTGGAATTTGATGTTTTGAGCTTGTTGTTGATCTGTACCATAAAAATAAATCGTGAAATAACTAAAATTTACAGTTCCAAACTTTATGAGCCGTTAAAAACCAAATTTATTGCTTGTGTACTTCCGAAAATGTATTGGAATAATGTTTCGTTCAATATTCACTGAACAGAAATCTATTTATCAATATAAGATGCCAGACTATAAGATAATTCTACGATCGGAGTCCGAAACAGATCAACTTTTCTCAATATTTGAGTCTAAATGACTCTTCTTCTTTTAACATTTACTTATGAGGTAGCACACTAATCTTTCTTGCAATTCAGTTCGTACTGGCTACTTTATGTATGACATTTAAGCTCTGTTACTGGCTTTTATCTGATGAACTTAATTTTGACAAAACAATACTTCCTATTTTATCCAGCATGATTAAAAAAATGATGTGGCTCGCTGACCAAGTTGGAAGAAATTTTTTTACAAGTATTTGGTTTTCTACTTTTTTTCTTATCGAATTCGTTCTGAAAAAATATGACCGATACAAATCTTGTAGTTCAGTCAGACATTGTTTTTTTTTGAATAAAAGAGATTTAATTTGCAAGATATTCCTCAGTGGAGACAATTAATTTTGCATCGTAGATTACTTAATATTAATTTAGACTGAAAGTAATTCTAAGTCGCATTCCTTACAAAATTAACATAGAACACAAAGATGAATTGGTTCATTCTCTTGGTAACATAATATTCATTCAACTAGATCCTACTCTATATCATCCTAACTTGTCGCGTCTAATCCAAGCCATATCTGTTCATGGCATGCGACAATTGAATATCGTAATTCTTACAATATTGTATTCAGTATACAAGACATAGATAATTATTTGCATTATATTTTGTTGTAGAGAATCAAATTGCAAAAACCTCGACAGCATCTATTCAAAGTCAAGTCTCTTCAAAACAACGTACTGTTCAAGTTCGATCACAAATATTAGCGTTTGTAGAATCCCCTTACGCATCATTATCTACAAATTGCATATTAAAATCGATTTTCGTCCTAAAAAATGCCTAATATGAGTTTAACGTCAGTCGAGTAAATGTACATAGGTATTGTCTTATGCTTGCGTGAGATTTTTTTCAATTATAAATTTTACCTATATTTTACGAGAAAACATTCTCAGACAATTTACTTTGCTTGCCATCATATGGTACCCGTATGTCTTGGATCAAGGAAATACAGCAATCTTCAAGAAAACTCTTCATTTCTATATCAAACTTTGTGAACATGAAGGTTTTGAGTAAACTATATTTAATAAATAAACTCCTATCAATTTTAGATATTGTAATACTGAAATATGAATTTATGAAATCATATTTTAGTATTGCAATATTCAAAATTATTCATATGAACTAGTTTAATCAAGATCTTCATATGTACAAAGTTTCAAACTAAAATTCGAAAAACTTTGTTTTTTTTTGAAACCTCGGCTCTTATAAAATGAATCTACTAAAAAGTCGTTATCACAACCAAATCTAAACATAAGCAAGAATCATTTTGAAATATTGCCATTCTTTAGTAATCCATTATGTATGGTCATAGAATGTGAATATCATTGTCTTTAATGACTTGAACTATACTGCAGGTGTTTCATTAATATGTATTGAAAGTAAAGAATATATTCAGACTAATATTCTCTTCACATTGAATAGTGGATAGAGTAATGATTCATTTTGTATTAGATAAGAAAAATTAGTTTTTTTTTTTTTTTTTTGAAAAATTTATTTCATTCTCAATATTATCTAGAATAATATTAATCAAAACTTATTCTAAGCATCACATATTCACAAATACAACGTAAGAAAAATCAACAACGGATTCGAATATTTCTTCTTGAGTTTTACTCGTAGATATTAATGAAATGTAACATTGAATTCTTTCTATAGTTTTTGATGGGAATCAAAAAATTCGAGCTTAACTCATTCGACTTTTAATCTTTGCAATGTCATTCGATAAAGAATTCAATATTGCATTCAACACAATTAATTTAAAGTTCAATAAAAAAGAAACAAATATTCAACAAAAATGATTCGAATCCTTTTGTTAAATTTTCTTACGTAATTATATACGACAAGAAAAAAAAGAAACAAAAACAATGACTAGATTTAAAGAAATCATAAAGGCATAATATCAACAGGTATATATGAACGACTGACATTAAAATAAATAGAGAGATTCACTAATAATAAAATTTTATTTTTTGTTCAATTGTTTATATTTAATATTGCGTAGTTTATTGATAATATATCTGACACTACGCAAAAAAATATATTTTATTAATTTTTTGAAGTTGATTGAACACTAAGGAAGTTTTTTGTTGGTAATGTTAATGTTAATGATGATTCTAAACATAACAAAAAAAAAATATAAAATTAAATAAAAAAAATTTTTTTTTTTAACCGGCAGATGATTTTTCACTACAACCATTTTCTTT